TGTCCCCCATGTCCCCCCGTGTCCCACCATGTCCTGCGTGTCCCCCCGTGTCCCCCGTGTCGCCCCCGCTCGCGGGACGCCCCCAGCCCACGCTGTCCCCACGCAGGCGGCTGCTCATCGAGGACCTGGAGGCCCGGATCGCCCTCATGCCGCTGCTGCAGGCCGAGGCGGACCGCAGGTACCGGGGGCGGTGGTGCTGCCCGCCCCGGTCCACTGGGGCGGGTACCGGGTCCCCGGTGCACGGGCCCTCAGCAGCCCYGAGGCCCCCGCTTGGGGTCTGAGCCCCCCATGAGCCCGGGGGGACARTCAGAGCCCTCCCTGCGCCCCAGGACCCTGCGCCTGATGCGGCAGAACCTGGACGAGGAAGCCAAGATCATGAAGGACGTGCCCGGGTGGCAGGTTTGTGGCCTGTGGGTGACACGAGCAAAGGGACACGAGCAGGGTGGCGGCAGCGGGACGGGGGCTGCTCCAAGACCTTCCCAAATGGGCGGCTCTCGCTGGGGAGGAGCTGGCGGCGTTTGGGGTATTTTGTGTCTCCCTGCGCTCCCGTTTCCTCGGAGCAGGGACCCGGGTGCTCTGTGGGGTTTATGAGGTGACAACGAGAGATCAAGGGAGCCAGAGGGGCTGCGCTCCCTGCGGGGGGGCCCCACGCAGTCACCGGCGCCGCTTCCAGGTGGGAGAGTCCGTGTTCCACACGGAGCGCTGGGTGCCGCCCACGCTGGACGAGCTCTACTACCTGCGGCCCAGCAGCGAGCTGGACAACGAGAAGTTCGGCCTGCAGTACTACGTGTGAGCGCCCCAGCGGCTGCCGTTAAAGCTGCTCCCGTGGAATTCCCGTGGAATAAAGTCCCAGGAATTGCTTGCTGCCTCCTGGCTCTGTCCCCAGTCCCGCGCGGACCTCGTGTCACAGCCCCGTGTGGGGACAGGCCGGGCAAGGTGGCCTCAGGGCTCCATTGGGACACGAGAAGCTTCAAGGGGGAGAGAGGGGTTAAAAATGTTGGGATTTGATCCCAGGATGCCGCTTGGGAAGAGAGAAGGAGCTTCCCGCCCTGCAGCCCTCCCGGTTGATGTCCTGCTCCTGGCCAGAGCTCCCCGGGGATGGGGTRACATTGGCTTGGGGGGGGTGACAGGTCCCCCTCCCTGCTGCCTTTGTCCCCCCTTTCTTTGCGCCAGGCCCTGCTGTGGGGCTGGGACTCACTAGAGGGCACCACAGGATTGGGAATGGGGAGAGGGCACCAYGGGACTGGGAATGTGGCTGCTCTGTTGGGCCAGCACGGGGGCGTCTATAGGGTGTRTGGGGTTCCCCGGACATCCAGGGGACGGGTGGGGAGGTGGGATGTCTGTAGGGTGTTTAGGGTTCCCAGGACATCCAGGGGATGGGGGTGGAGGCTGGAATGCCTATAGGGTTTATAGGAATCCCAGGACCTCCAGGGCATGGGATGGGGGGGGGACAGTGTCTATAGGGTGTTTAGGGTTCCCAGGACATCCAGGGGTGACAGGGGAGGTCCATAGGGTCTCCCAGGACGGTCTGGACACTGGGGATCCATGGGGCTTCCAGGGACACCCTCCCTGCCACCCATGTGAAGCGTTAGTGTCTTGTTGGGCCCCTCCAGGAGGGGCTCCCGTCCCCGGCTTCCAGCTCCCTCCGCAGCGGGAGCGGCCGCTTGGATCCCGGTGAGCCGGCACGCGGGAGCAGTGACGGCACCGCCGGGAAGCGCCGGCCGCACCAGCGCCGCCCCGTTGGGCTTCACGGGACGCGCGGCTSTCCCCAGTCCCGGCTGCCGCGGGTGGCCAGGCCCGCGGTGCTGAACACAAGCGTCGTGTCCCTGTCCCCACYGAACACCAGGAGGCCAAAGCCACGGACACAGACATGGAGCTGCCGGGAGTCRGGGAGGCAGCAGCTTTGGGGACACGGACGAGGCCAGGCCAGGCACACGGCAGCCCTTCCCAGCCCGTTTTCCCTCCCTTTTTCCCGGCCACGGAGAGGAGGAGGAAGGTGGCGAGCGGCAGTGCCCGCCCTGGGGCTGCTCTGAGCCCTTCCCAGCGGGATCGGCCAAGGAGCCTCCGCAGCCAGCGGCACCTCCGCTCCGTGGGCTGCCTGGATGCGCCGGGACCCCGCGGAGCAGGGGCCGAGCCTCCTCCTCCTCCTCCTCCTCCTCCTCCTCCTCCTCCTCCTCCTCCTGCTCCTCCTGCTCCTGCTCCCGCTCCCGCTGCTCGCGGTGCGTGCCGGCCCCGCGGGGAGCCCCGGCCGCCGCCGCCGCCTGTTGTTGTTGGCAGCCCCGGCCTCCCTGCCAGGAATGTGACCTCGGCTGCAGGCTCCGGGCGCTGCCGCCGCGCGGGGGGGCCCAGCCAATCCCGCCCCCCCGCCCCGCAGCTGCGGCCGGGAC